TGAGAAGGTAGATAAACTAACTGCTGAGAAATGCTAACAAAGATTAGTCAATAAACAGACAGGGGTAAGTTTTGAACTGAATCCTGGTGTTTTCCTCAAAACAGCTCCTGTTTTGATGCTTTCACTGGGCAAAAAACTATTCATCAGATTCATCCTTTACACTATTGGTATTAGTATTGCTGTCCAAATGCATAGTGAATTGGAATATTTACATAATATACAGTGTATTCACTGAATCCCACAGTGTCTCATAAAAAGGTTGTGCACAAAAATTCCCAAATGCTCAATGTTCACAATTGAAAAAAAGCTATTACTGTTACTCATCCTATTAATTCTATTCTACCAAAGATGGCTTAATTTCACCAGAGAACTTAGCCTTGAGATATTGTTCAATTAACAGAAATAAACAGGTCCGGAAACAAAGCTCACATTATGCTTGTGTCTGCTAGCAGTCTGCTAATAGCTAATAGCAGACTGGTCGATTAAGTATTTCTGACAAGCCACATTTCTTGATTGCATCTGTAACGAAGCTGCTAATAAGCTGCTATCATTCATTCTGGTGACTGGTGATGAAATGTGAAAGACTAGAAAGACATCATGCATTGCCAAAGTGCTTGCTCATAGGGGGTCATATGATTGTTGGGTTTTTTTCTCTGTATCTATGAAGCGCCTTGAGGCGACTTATGTTGTGATTTGGCGCTATATAAATAAAATTGAATTGAATTGAATTGAATTGCCCTGAAAGAAAAATTACAGGTGGACGAAAGGCATGAAAGAAGCACTTTTCAAAGTGAACAGCCACAAAGTATGTTCTAAATATGAATTAGGAAATAAAATTGCATATTTTGTATTTATCACACAAATGCACATATATATAAATAAGAGCAATGACATTAATATTAACAGTACGGAGAAACTCACCCTGTAGAATTTTGCCAGTTAGCTCGTAACCCTAACCCTCGACAACTTAAATATCAATACTGAATGAATTATTTTGAATACCTGGTAATGCAAACACAATGCTAGCTAGCTAAGACTAAATTTAATGTTTGCTAACATTAATGCTACCAAAATACAATATTAAGGTAGTTAAATTTTGCTTTTTAAACTTATTTAGAATTTTTGGGGGAGGGTGTGGTGAGTCATGTTAACATCACTGATTTGTGAACTCTATAAATCTTTAAAATAAGAATCATAATAAAGGTTTCTTCTGTAAAAACAACCCTTGATTAGCAGAAAAACAAACAGGCTTCTATGTAGCAGAATATGACTCCAGGCTGATTTCATACAGATCAGTTGATCTCCCAGTGAACCTTAAAACTGTCTCACTATCACTACACTCATTAATACATCTGTCATCAAGAAGCAGAAGGGCTGAATGAGATTTCTTTGTGCCATATTTTTTAACTCAGGTTTCAGTGACTTTTTAAACACCTGAGCTACAACTGGACGACAGATTTAGAGGTTATGATGTTGTTGACACCCAAAAGGTCAGTTTGCTCCATGTAGTGAACAGGGATATCTGAATCACACCAGTGAGGTCAGCAAAGGTGACTCAGGGTTCAGATGACCATTTTTGCCCCTCTCCGACCTTTTCACCGTATCACTATATTTCAGTAGGTTTGCTGAGATAGTGCTCTGAGTAACAGGCAGAAAACCCAGACTGGTGCTATTTATAGAATGGAGCTAAAGTAACCAAGGGGAGCTTCAATGCAAGGCCAAATTCCAGGAAGTCGGTTCAACAAACTCTGAGTCTAACAACAAACTCCGAGCTGATTTACTCTGAGATCAGCAACTCCCAGTTTCCTCTTTAAAAAAGTAGGATGATCAAAGTAAGTTCAATCAACTCTGAGCATGTTGACCCTGAATTGAATGTGTTTGTAGAGAAAGAAAGCAATCCTCAACAGAGCTTCAATACTAAGATTCACCATGGCAACGATTAACTAAAGAACAGATCCCCTTTTTATCCAGTGAACCAAGGCATATGCATTCAGGTCAAGTATAATGTCATAATTTTACATTTAAATTTGAAATCTAATCATCTAACCTGACAGGAACACGGGTGGGTAGGCACTGAGGGTAAAAAATATGGAAAAACAAATAAGACACAGAAATGATGGATATTAGTTAACTAGATAGCAATATGCTCTGGGATGGATCTGCCCTTTTATTGAATAAAAAAATACGTTTGTGAGAACTTTTGATTGTTTCCTCTTTTTTTTTTTTTAATTAGTCTAATTGTTCAGTAAAACTTAAGGCTTCTATTATTTCTGCCATTTATGCTTCAAAATGAGATTTACAGAAAGACTATGCTTTAATTTTCACCAGTTTAACCACTAAGAATTTAAGCTAATGGCAGTCTTCACTGACATACATTAGGGTTATTTTCTTGGAGAGACAGCAGATATGTTTTAATAATAATAATGGATTGCATTTATATAGCTCTTTTCGAGACCCTCAAAGCGCTTTACAACTCCACTATTCATTCACACACTGGTGGAGGCAAGCCACATTTGTAGCCACAGCTACCCTGGGGCAGACTGACAGAAGCTGCATTATCGCGCCATTGGCCCCTCTGGCCATCACCAGTAGGTGAAGTGTCTTGCCCAAGGACACAACGACCAAAACAGACAGGGCTGGGGATCGAACCGGCAACCTTCCGGTTACAAGATGAGATTCCCAAGTCCCTGAACCACGATCGCTCCGTTTTAATGTTAATGTTACCGTTAGTACTCATTGTAATTCCGTCAAAACAAGTCTTGAATGTAAAGTTTTTATTTATATTCATCATATAATAAGAAAAATCTAACCTTGGTCTTGTTTTAGCATTTTTTTGACTATATAAATACACATAGCACAGTACAGTAGTACTTCAGATTATTTAAAAACACATTTAGACAATTAGTAGTTGTTTGAATTATATTTTTAATGGTTTTGCAGTGGTGTGTATAATGGTGGTGGATACAAACAAGATGCTTAACGGTCAAACATCAGCTACTTTGATATATTTTGGGGTCATGTGGGTTTAGTGAGTTGTGTGAATGGGTGACAAAAATGAATTGAGACAGGTCAGTTTGGAGCCTGATCATCGATGTTGACGTGATATGTACAATATATATTTATTTAAAGTTTATTTGTTCAGCATTGTCTTGCTGATGATCTTTTGTAGTACATGTTAGTCCAGAACTATATAGCATTCACCGTTAATGGTGCCTTCACAGATTTACAAGTGACTCGAGCCAATGTTTACAAAAGCATCCCTCTATACAAGGATGTTGGTGTTTGATCTGTATATTGGCAACAAACCAGATGGTCTCTCATTTCAGTGGTGTCTATGTTTTCCAAATGTAAGACTTTCATTGGTCAGATAGTTTTCCAAATCACCTTAAGCGATAGGTTTTATTTTTTCTCAAATTAAAGCTTTTAAGAGTTACCATTTTAGCGCTACACTGTTTCATTGTTCTTTTGTATACTTATTCAGCTCTTCTGCTTTTACATGAAAAACAAAGATTGTATCTTTTTGACAGTTCTAAAATCGAAAAATATAATCCTTCTGTTTGCAGGTGTAGCGCTCTCATCAATCAACTATATAATCTATGCAAATATGTCATAAGATGCGACATCCTTAAACTAACCCTTGCCTGTGCGTATTGTAATCAAGATGACTCCTGGTTGATGTCACAGAATGAAACCACTTAACCCCCCTTTCAGGCTGACAGCCAGAGAGGATTAAAGGGGTCAGATGACTGTATTCTACCCATAATGTCTGTTCACCTCATCTGTTGGAATCACGTCCTTTGTCTGCCACAGAAAATCTGCACTTTTCCTTATGTCACATCAACAGACACTTCCACAAAGCTTATATCTTTAAATCTATAAATGTAAAAATTTCCCCAAAAAAACTTAATTCCAACTTATACATTTTACTTGTCTGACCAGTAGATAAAGCAAGGCAGTCCCCCCCCCCCAAAAAAAAGGAATTGAAAACCAGGAAAATTCATGTATATTAGAAGCCAGCAGGGAATTAGCAAGTTCAACCAGAAGATGAGTCAGGTTAACAGAACAACTGGACTAAGTTTATCTCAAACTGTCCACACAAAATGAACAGCTACGTCTGCTTATTACTTTATGTTAGGAAACAAATGGTTACAATGAAGTGCTGACTACATGTATCACACAAGCAGCATCACCAGGTATGGGAAGGAGGGGGGTGGAAGACTATTTCAGGCTTCTGTGACATTTTAAGAGAGTTTAATCAACCTGCACCCAGTTTCTCTGTGACATCAGCTTCAGTCAGGTACACTAACAGCATAAGATTTCATTAAGTGAAACACTCATTTCTTGACCTTTACTGCTCAAGAAAAACATCTTGTTCCTTTGCTCAGTCAACCAACCAAACAGTTAACTAGGATAACTACAGTCTGCTATGTGTGAACTTTTCAAGATTCTGTACCACTTAAGCAGGAGTTTGGAACCCTTTGTTTTACCTCATTGTTTTACCCTGATATGAAACAAAAATGTTAAATTGTTACATTCAGTCTCCATCTTTAGTCTGACCATACTTCCACTCTGCACTGTGACTAAAGACCAATGCGTGCACAAGAATCTCAGGGTTATTACGAGTGGAGAAGTGTGAATAATCAGTTTGATCTTTCTATTTTGAATTCTGTTATTTACTAGTTTGTTGCTACAGATCACACATCCCAGAGAGTCAGCTGAATGAAAGCAAATACATTTTTCCAGATACCTTTTCTATTTTTTATATTCAATTCTCTATTTTTCTCCTTTTCCCTTTTTAAATTTGGATTCCATAACAACGAGAGTAGCTTTTGTTTAAAATTGTGAAATGAAGAATTACAATCAAATTAAAATAAAATGGATTTTAAAAGTGCAGTACTGTCCAATCAAAAGGAGTTTTTTTACATTATAAAGCAGCCATTACCTTCTATGTATAACTATTCACCAATGGACAGAATACATTTGTACTAGCTGTCACTCACCCAGGCGGGCAGACACATCCAGCCAGACAGGGCTCGTGTGATGAGCAGGTGAGGTTGAGCAGGTAAGACTCACAGGTGCGCTCACAGGACACACCCCTTCCCGGCAGGAGGCCATCCTCCCCTTCTGAACAGTTCTGGTAGATCTGACCTTCTGGACACAATCTGTCTGTAAGTAAAAATGACATCACAGATTTTTTGTAGATTTTTGGTGTCACTTTTAAACTGACAGTGAAGAAGAGTGAAAAATTAGTTTGTTAGGTATGAATGCTGAGCAACATAAACACATCAATGTTTTAGCTCATGCATTATTAATCTTCACTATCAAAAAAGGCACTTTTACACATTTTCTTAGGACTGTAATTTCTCACAGTATGAAAGTTGATATGACACAAACATATATATCCACTGACTATTTTTCTTTTGGCTACTTCCTTTAGGGGGTATCACAGTCAGTCACCTGCCTCCATCTCATTATATCCCTAGCATCCTCCTTTGTCACACCCACCCTCTGCATGTGCTCCTTCACTACATCTGTGAATCTTCTCTATAATTCGTCTGCACATGTCCAAACTACAGTGGGGCAAAAAAGTATTTAGTCAGCCACTGATTGTGCAAGTTCCCCCACCTAAAATGATGACAGAGGTCAGTAATTTGCACCGGAGGTACACTTCAACTGTGAGAGACAGAATGTGAAAAAAAAATCCATGAATCCACATGGTAGGATTTGTAAAGAATTTATTCGTAAATCAGGGTGGAAAATAAGTATTTGGTCAATAACAAAAATACAACTCAATACTTTGTAACATAACCTTTGTTGGCAATAACAGAGGTCAAACATTTACTATAGGTCTTTACCAGGTTTGCACACACAGTAGCTGGTATTTTGGCCCATTCCTCCATGCAGATCTTCTCGAGAGCAGTGATGTTTTGGGGCTGTCGCCGAGCAACACGGACTTTCAACTCCCGCCACAGATTTTCTATGGGGTTGAGGTCTGGAGACTGGCTAGGCCACTCCAGGACTTTCAAATGCTTCTTACGGAGCCACTCCTTTGTTGCCCGGGCGGTGTGTTTTGGATCATTGTCATGTTGGAAGACCCAGCCTCGTTTCATCTTCAAAGTTCTCACTGATGGAAGGAGGTTTTGGCTCAAAATCTCACGATACATGGCCCCATTCATTCTGTCCTTAACACGGATCAGTCGTCCTGTCCCCTTGGCAGAAAAACAGCCCCATAGCATGATGTTTCCACCCCCATGCTTCACAGTAGGTATGGTGTTCTTGGGATGCAACTCAGTATTCTTCTTCCTCCAAACACGACGAGTTGAGTTTATACCAAAAAGTTCTACTTTGGTTTCATCTGACCACATGACATTCTCCCAATCCTCTGCTGTATCATCCATGTGCTCTCTGGCAAACTTCAGACGGGCCTGGACATGCACTGGCTTCAGCAGCGGAACACGTCTGGCACTGCGGGATTTGATTCCCTGCCGTTGTAGTGTGTTACTGATGGTGACCTTTGTTACTTTGGTCCCAGCTCTCTGCAGGTCATTCACCAGGTCCCCCCGTGTGGTTCTGGGATCTTTGCTCACCGTTCTCATGATCATTTTGACCCCACGGGATGAGATCTTGCGTGGAGCCCCAGATCGAGGGAGATTATCAGTGGTCTTGTATGTCTTCCATTTTCTGATGATTGCTCCCACAGTTGATTTTTTCACACCAAGCTGCTTGCCTATTGTAGATTCACTCTTCCCAGTCTGGTGCAGGTCTACAATACTTTTCCTGGTGTCCTTCGAAAGCTCTTTGGTCTTGGCCATGGCGGAGTTTGGAGTCTGACTGTTTGAGGCGGTGGACAGGTGTCTTTTATATAGATGATGAGTTCAAACAGGTGCCATTCATACAGGTAACGAGTGGGGGACAGAAAAGCGTCTTACAGAAGACGTTACAGGTCTGTGAGAGCCAGAGATTTTCCATGCTTGAGGTGACCAAATACTTATTTTCCACCCTAATTTACGAATAAATTCTTTACAAATCCTACCATGTGAATTCATGGATTTTTTTTTCACATTCTGTCTCTCACAGTTGAAGTGTACCTCTGGTGCAAATTACTGACCTCTGTCATCATTTTAAGTGGGGGAACTTGCACAATCGGTGGCTGACTAAATACTTTTTTGCCCCACTGTATCTCAGCCCTGCCTCTCAAACTGTTCAACCTGAGCTGACCCTCTGATGTATTCATGACTAATCCTGTCCATCTTGGTCTCAAAAACACTCAACATCTTCAGCTCTGCTACATCCAGCTCAGCTTCCGATCTTTTTGTCAGTCCCACTATCTCCAAACCGTACATTATAGCAGGTCTCACTACCATGTTGTAAACTTTCACTCTAGCTGTGATCCTTCTATCACAAATCAGCCTGACACTCATCTAGACCCACTCCACCACACTCGAACATTCTTTACTTTTCTTATGTCTGTTGCTTTGGATGGTTCAACCCAGGTATTCAAACTCATCCAACTTCATTATTGCTCCTCCTTGCATGTCCATCTTTCCTCCTGTCTCCCTTCACAAATATATTCTGTCTTCCTTCTACTAACTTTCATTCCTCTTCTTCACAGAGCATACCTCCACCTCTCCAGACTCTTTCAACTGCTTCTTACTCTCACTACAGATCAACATATTAGCTGCAAATATCATCCACAGACACTTCTATCTGACCTCCATCACAATTTGTAATACCACCCCCACCACTGCATACCTCACGTTGTCTCACTGTCCTTTTAAATGTCCTGCACTATCCTCACATACTTCTTCTTCTCTTGGCTATAAGAAAGATCCACAAAGACACAGTACAACTTCTTCTGACCTTCTCTATACTCTCCAATAACAAAGCAAACATCACATCTGCAGTGATCTTTCCTGGCATGAAGCCATATTGCTTCTCACTGATCATCACCTCTCTTCTTGACCGAGCTTCAACATATACACGGTAAGGTTCATCCCCTTTGTCACTCTGTAGTTACTACAGATCTGCACATCACTCTTGTTCTTTAAAACTGGTACCAGTACACTTTTTCTCCATTGCCCAGGTATCCTCTGACTCTCCAAGACTGTATTAAACAATCTGCTTAAAAAGTCCACTGCCTTCTCTCCTAGACATCTTCATTATTCCACAGACATGTCACATTGGCCAATTGTCTTTTCACTCTCCATCATCTTCATACCTGCCCTCACTTCCTCCTTACTAATCCTCTGCACTTCCTGATTCATTAACTTTCCTCCATCTGTTCTCTCTCTCATTTTCTACATTCATAAACTCAAAATACTTCCTCTATCTTCTTAACATGCTCTCTTCACTTGTTACTACATTTCCATATCTATCCTGAATCATACTAACCTGCTGCACATACTTTCCAACTCAGTCTCCCTCCCTACCTAATCAACGCAAGTCATTTTGTCCTTCCTTGTTTTCCAGCCTCATGTACAACTTATTATAAACACTTTCCTTTCCCTCTTCTCTCTTTGCTGTTCACCCAGCCTCCCAAACTTACTTCTTTACTTTCTTCATCTCCCTGACTATCCCACTTTTCTTTGCTAACCTTTTCCTTTTATCACTGTCTTGTACTTCCTCATTTTACCACCAAGTCTCCTTGTTCTCATTTCTTTGTCCAAAGGACAAATGCCTTCTTGGTAGTTTCCGACTTCAGCTATACCCTTCCAGTCATCTATAACTCTTCCCTACCATCCAGCTCTTGTCTCAATATCTTTCTGAACTCTGAGCTCTAAACTCCTCTTCAACTTCTATTATTCAATTCTTGTTTTTGCCTTAAGATTAAAAAAAAAAGATCAGATTAACAAAATCAAATGGACTCACCTGTGCCTGTTTGTGTTTGGGACACCAGTCTACCATTCAGACAGAGCCTGCAGGAGGCACAGAGAGACATTACTCACCTTAATGATGGCAACTGGAGAAAATTCATAGAATTTTCACATATTTAAAATTAAATACAGGTTTGGTACTTTGGTGATAATGTCAATATACTGCAATGTATGTAGTTTCTGTTATTTGTCCTCTTACATTGACTTTGCTCATTTTTGGTAATTTCCCTAATATGAGTTTCACCAAATTAGAAATTTAAAGAACAGATTTATACTCCCCAGGTGATTCAGTCTTTCTCAAGGTGGAAATTATATTAGCTTTCTTCCACACATTGTATTGTTTCACCAAAAAGGTTGCTGATTACAGCTGGTCCCGATACAATTTAAACAAACAGTCTGTGTTACATTACTTGACAGAAGTCTTCTGATGTTGGATCTCTGGACAGAACTTGCAAGAAATCCAACATCATCTCCAACAGGAAAGAAATGTTCCTGTTTTGTTTTTTGTTTTTTGTGGAACTCTAAAATGTAATATTTTTAATATGCAGGGAAGAACCTAATAAGCTCCTGGCCTAACTTAAAGTAACAATTTGAATTAAACAAAGCAATTTTTTTCTATTTTGAAAATTTTTTAATTTTCTGGAGTCTTTTGTTCATTCAAACATTTGACTTGAAACACTTGATTGAAAAGAATATCTCTAGAAAAATATAAACTTTTCTTACACAGATTTTCCTTTTATGTGGTCGTGACTGACAGGGGGTAGAGCTTTTTATTGAGAAAAAATTAGGAAATCTGAACCACAGCAAACCAGAAACTTTAGACTCCTTTGTTCTGAAAGTAAATTCTGCTCCTCAGTACTGCATTATTTTAACTGACTAAATTAAAGGCAGTTCCCAGTGTTTTCTGTACTTTCTCTAACTGCTAACTAAACTGCCTCATGTAATATCAGTAATGTCACAGTTCATTGTTACAGAATTTATTTACAAAAATAAAGCCTGACACTCATAAGTCTAGACTGAAGGTAGAAATGAAGGGGAGGAGCTTACTGAACGCCTGCTGAAGTCATGATCACATCTCCTGGTTCATAATCTGCTCCGAGGAAACTGCAGGGGCACTCGCTCCTGGAAAAAAAGAGACAACCTGACTTGAACTTGTGACAAACCTAAATGGACCGACTTTGGTTCCCCCCATAAATATACATTCACTGCTTAATTTTTTTCCTTACCAATGTTAATTAAGGAGAAGTGGAGGGGGGCAAAATAGACCAGTCTTACTTGAAAAAAATACAGTATTGTATGATTTATATAATATACATTGTGGTAATTTATGTTTAGCTACGGCTAAAAGCCTTTGTAACATATAGGCCAGTGCCACACATCAGCTTCTGTACTACAAATTCTTTCTCACTGGTTATCAGATATCTGTCGTCCCCAGCCCGAGTGGGAATGAAAGGGGGGTTTCACGATGAATTCCTTGATGTAACTCTATCACATGGTAAGTAAGGCATGGCGCTGCACTAGGATGTAAAAACCTGGGACATTTAAGAGGAATTAAGCTGCATGTCTTCTAGGGCAGAGCAAGCTAAAAAGGAGAGCACAATTACCGAGGTCCTCTGGGTCTACAATGTCTGCAGCAAAGATACCAGGTTTTCTACTTAGAAGCTGACCTAAACTTCAAAGCAGATACAAATATCACTTTGAGTGGATTGGTTTGGTGGAGTCACTCCAGCTTCACCACCCTCCACATCAGCACAGCAGGTAGTACTGAAGCTGCTCTGGGTATTAAGTCCCACCTGCTTCATCATATAAATATTTCATCATTTTTTTGCCTTTACATACTTCTACCTGCGAATATCACTTCCTCGTCCTTACCTGTGCACACAGGTGTGTGTTCGGTGATTGTAGAAGGAACCCAGAGGACAGACGCAACCTTCCTCACACTCCTCCCCACAGTGCTGCGGGACAGAGAGGGAGGAGCAACGGCGCTGGCAGGAGGACACACAGGTGCCGTACTGCATGTTGGCAGGACAGGTGACAGCTGCAGGGCAAGACAGAGTTCAGCAAAGACTCAGACTCACAGTCAGTTTGGCCTTTTAATGGGAATTAACTTGATGATGGCGTCACTGTATTCTTCATCAAGTTATCAAATTTAACAACAAAGTGTAGAGCTACTGATTGGAGCAGAATGATGGTTTGTGTATGACTTTTTTCCCCTCCAGGGGAAAAAAGACATACGTCTGTTAATTCATCATTTAAAACTTTAGTTTGTCCAGTCATCTCTAAAGTGTGTGACATGCGAGAGAGCCAATAAAGGCAAGCTGAATGGACAGTGCAGAATCATTTCAGATTCGTGACATCAGTTCATCCACTGAGTAACGTTCAAGACCTGATATCTGTTGTCATCCATAAAACCAGTGAGGCACATGTCATTAGTGTGCTCCAGTATTTAAACAAAGAATGATGTTTGTTGTGGATCTCATTAAAATGCACTCACGTTCTAACTTAATGACTCACACTGGAATAAAAATAGGATGACAAACTCCTGTGGTTGCCCCGTGATTACCCTAAACCTGTGGGTGACCACTTTGAGTGTAGTTTCACCTTTCAAGACATCCCATACCTTCTTTGGGAAAGTTTTTGGTAGGAAAATTTTCCAAAATTACTCCTAAGCTGGCACTGATACTGTTTGATCTAAACTGATTTTTTTTTTCCATGTCATTCCCTAAAAGATTAAACTTCCATGAACAGTCCTGCCAATAACTCATATGACATACTGACATATATAATGAAATATTAAAATGTCCTCCAAGCTGAAATTTGAAAATCATCTGTGACCTTGAACGGTGAGTTGGGAGAAATATTTGGATTTGATATTAGACATGAAAACAAAAAATATGTCAGAAATAATTGCTAATTTTGACATCTCTGTAGCAGTAGGTACATTCTTGGACAAAATATGTTTGGCGTGAATGTGACTCACCACAGTCAGATATCTGTGATCGAAAGTCAATGATGACGGAGAATCGACGGCAGTGGCGAGCATAGTGGGCCAGCGACGAGCAGAGGCAAGGCGTCCCACACTTACAGGTATCGGAGCGACACTGCTGATGGAAGGGTGTTGGACTGAGGTACTCATGACAGGCAGCAAACAGATCCTGATTCAGCACATCACACATTTCTGAAGCATAGGTCACTGTTAAAAATAGTTTAGAAATAATTCAAGTAAACAAGTCTTGCTCTCTGTGATTCTGATGTCATGAATCAAATACAAACCCTAAATAAAATATTTTTAAAGTTGTTCATTTATGTCATAATCATTGTAAATTCACTGGATAATACAGATAAATATGTGTGTAAAAATATAAGAATAAAAGTAGAAACTAAACTGATTTACACCTTAAACAGAGCTTGGGATACATTTTTACTGTGATATCAACATCAAAATGTCCAAAGGTTTTATAATAATACATATGTTTTATTTTATAAAGCACCACTTACGCAGTTTAACATAATAAATGTTATACAACTGAGTAAATATGTTATTTTTCTCTACTGAAACAGAAAAAAGGAGGAAGAGAAACTGACCAGCCTGCTGGTGTGTATCACAGGGATCGAGCTGAGGCGTACTCAGGCTGGACAAACACGCAGACGAAACCTTCCAGGCATTTCCAAAGAGCTGAGGAGTGCTTTCTATCATACCTGATGGAGATCTGAACCAAAACCAAAGCAAGGAATCAGTATGACAGCACACAGATAGAAAAAAAAGTCATTTTTATAAAGTGAGTCCAGTGCTATCGTGTGAATGAAGAGTTGCCTTTTGATTTTTGTGGTTACAAGTGTTGTTGTGTTCACAAAATAACATTCTGATAATATCAGAATCAGAATAATTATTAATCCCAGAGCAAATTATGTGGTCACAGTTGCTCAAAGACAGTAAGAACAGTAACCAACTAAATTAAATTAAATATTACAATATATTACAAGTTATAAAATATAACAAAATAGCTATAATTATAAATATTACTGAATGTTACACAAAATTAAATGTGTGTAGTTGACATTGAGGTGCCCCTCTTATTATACTGACTTTTCTCTGTAGAGGATGTGACATCAAGAGTGTGCACTGTGACATCCACATCGACCCCATGGATTGAAACAGGGGTCACTGAGCATGGCAGGAGATTATATATTATTGTAATCAGTCCTAAAAATCTTACAAACATGGTGTCTTACTGACTTACTGAATCTGGATGGCATTACATTGACCTTCAGTAACACTGGAGTTGTTTTTGACCAGGATATGTGCATATTAACCAAATATGTAGGACTGCCTTCTTGCATTTATCTCTTGAATTAGAATCATCCCGTCTCAGTGATGCTGAAAAAGTTGGTTATGCATTTATTGCTTGTAGGTTGCATTACTGCAATTATTTATCAGGTTGTCCTAAACACTCACTGAAAGCCTTTAGTTAACCCAACATGCTGCAGTGAGAGTACTGACAGGGTCTGCAAACAGAGAGCATGTTTCATTGGTTCCCCGTTAAACCCAGAATCAAATTTAAAAAATCCTGCTCCTCACATACAAGGTCTTGAATAATCAGGACCCATCTTACCTTAAAGACCCAATTACACTGTATCTTCCCAACAGAGCACTTTGCTCTCAGACTGCTGGTTTACTTGTGGTTCGTCAGGTATTTAAAAGTAGAACGGGAGGAAGAGCCTTCAGCTTTTAGGCCCCTCTTCTGCAGCTCCCATTTGAATTCAGAAGACAGACGCTATCTCTACTGTCAAGATTAGGCTTTAAACGTTCCTTTTTGATAAAGCACATAGTTAGTGCTGGATCACGTAACCCTGAACCCTCCCTTAATTACACTGCAATAGGGGGCTTCCCATGATATACTGAGAGGTTCTGTTCTCCTTCATTCACTCGCTATGTTTATACACCACTTTAGTTCATCTCGGGCTCCCTCCCCTCACCCCAGCAGGTTGTAGCAGATGGTTGCCCCTCCCTGAACCTGGTTCTGGTGGTGGTTTCTTCCTGTTCAAAGGGAGTTTTTCCTTCCCACTGTTCTCAAGTGCTTGCTCATAGAGGGTTCTTTGATTGTTGGAGATTTTTCTTCTTTCTTTCTTTCTTTCTTTCTTTCTTTCTTTCTTTCTTTCTTTCTTTCTTTCGTCAGGTCTTTCCCTTAAAGCTCTTTAAAACTGTTGGTGTGATTTGAAGTTGCATACATAAAACTGAATTTAAAGGCATTTATTTGAAGTGAACTGCATTTTTTAAACTTTTAAAGAAAATATGTGCAGTATTAAATACACATTTTACTTGTACTTCTTTGATCCTTCTCTGAAACATGCTGGACCTGGAACTGATACGAGTACAATAGCAAGCTAGAAGCGACTGACACGGGAGTCCCACCTCCGCCCAAGCCACTATTAATCAGATGGGTTTCACCCAATTCTCTTTGAAGTAGAATAGCTGCCTGCAGTTCTTTCTGACTTACTCCTCTTCTTTTTTTGCCACTAACTATGCAACTAAGTGTCTGAAATGACTGCAGCTGCAAAGCAAAGCAAAAACAAAACAAAAGGTTAAAATTGTGCAAGTCATCACTTTAACTACAGTCTTTTAGTAGTGCTTCAGGAAAAGTGACTTCTTAGCAGCATACGGGCACTTCAGTCAGTAACTGTGATGTATATCCATTTACAGCTGTTAGACAACATCCGCCCTTTATAGTCAGCCATTACGATACGGTACAGTGGAGCTCCTATTCCGCTAACAGTAAATTCCTTGTTGAAGTGGCGTGTCCAGTTGGGCGCTCATCTAGTCCCCCTAAAAGAGCTGATCATAGAGCTGGGCTTTTGATGCTGAGCCGCCGACCAGTGTGCATTACAGAGAGAGTAAGTGTGAGAGGGAGAGCACTTCACCATCACCTCCCTCTTTGCCTCTGAAACAAGAGCATGCACTCTCTCTGTATTATTGGAGGAGGGGTTAACCAAGAGCGCAAGAGGGATCAAAGGTCAGCCAGCACACACTTACAGGAAGTCGTCTTGAATGTTGCCATTGAAGGTGCCGCACAGCCCCACTGTGTCATCCTTCCACAGCTCATCCGCCTGCAGGTAAAGGCGAAACTCCTTCCAGCTGTACTGCAGACGCAGGCCGAACGCCGTCCTCACCTGGACAAACATTGATGATAGCTCCTGGATGTGGAAGAGGTCTGCAGGAGATATATATAGGACATTATTTAGCTCAAAGCTGGTGGTGTGCAAAGCTTGTTCTTTTACTTTATAATTTTTCCCCAAACTATGGATCAAGCTACCAGTGTACAAATCTTCATCTTCCTTGCTTTGTTCCTGGTACACTTTTACATCACTTTGCAAATTATCACTATAGACGGGGCATCAGCAGCACTTGTGCACCAATACTAATTAATTAATTGATTAATTAATTGTAGTTACAAACTCTATAGCGGAATTTTTAATAAATAAAGCATAATTGAGTAAGAATGACGATGAAATTTATATCACTCATATCCAAACACATATTTTAGTGGAATCCAGCTTTTAGGTAGGTGCCAGTGTAGACTGTACAACAGCCTATATCCCAAAAGTATGTCATTCATAAAAAAACAGCCATTTCAGTTAAAGCTGTTTGTGGAATTTTATTTGGAACTTGTTTCCTTTTCTTCTTTATGTGTATAAGTACAGTTGTATAAAATGAAAGAATGGAAAATCTGTAACAGAACATAAAGAGCAATAGCTATTAGTGTTTTTATTCATTCAGGTTCAAAATATCAGATCACTCTCAGACGCTGTCAGATAAAGCACACAAAAGCCTGTTGACTTGGTCTGAGCATTACTCATTTTACATGAGTAATGCTCAGAGGAAAGAGATTTTGTGCAACACAATGTAGGAGCTAACCCAGTAAAGTATTGTGAAAAATTTTCATTCAATAGCACAGCTGTCATTCAATCTGTCCCTGCCATAACCCACAGAGTGCTGAATAAAGTCGGGCCCTGGATGAGAACAATGCTGGAAGGTGATAAAAGATGAGGAGGTTACCATCAGAATAGGGCAGGGAGATGCGGTACTGTCCAGCAATGAAGACCTCTCCAATGTGACTCAGAGTAATTTCTGTTCTTGGATCTTCATCAATTACCAGGTTAACGGACTGTATGCAGGCCCCATCCAGATTCTGCAAATGAGACGAGATGGTCTGATAAAGCGTTCAGACAGTTTCCCAAACAGTTAAGCAGAATGAAATAATGGGAAGAAACACACTCAAATAAAGCACTCTTCCTGAAAAAATGAGGGAAATATAATAAAGAGAGAGGGCTTTAGTCTGTTAGACAGGTTGCTGGTGTGTAGTGATGGAATAAATACCCAAATCTATAAAAATGGAAAATAATATTCTGATTTCAACCTAAGGAAAAGTCTGAAGTCGCACCGTAGCCCCTACAGAGTGTACTATGCATAACCCACCCTACAATGATATTAGATGGAAAATTTCCACCATTACTGGTAGTTTAATCTGTAGAAACAAATCTCTGCATATGGACATGCAAATTCTGAAGGAAGGGATATTGGTAATCGCTATTTTTTTTGTTGATCAATCACTCTTTATCACGCTTTTGTTGCATGCAGGAAAGAAAATGGAGATGCAAGAGACCTGCTTTTGTTCTTATTATTTACCATTTACCAGTATGCATATTTCCTTTTATTTTCTATGAAAAGCTACATATGTAGCAGGCAGAGATGGGCGTTACGAGTAAAGTAAGGGATTACTATTGCAAAAACGGTAATTAGATTACCGTTACTTTCCCGTGGGAACGCTGCGTTACTGTGTTACTAAAACCATGAGTTTTTGCGAGAATGTCTCACGACAGTGACGTAAGCGAGTGCACCGTTAGAGACAACAGCTGTGTGCAGATCAACAATGGATCACATATCCATTGTGGGAGAGAGTATGAGCGTGCAGTGTTTAAAGCGTGGAAGTACTGACCTTACTTTGAGTTTGATTCCATAAAAAGTGACAAAAACATTAGCGTTCATCATGCGTGGGAAGAAAACTTCTTTTTACAGCGGAAAAAAAACCCTAAACTTCCAAGCGCACCGAGTGCCCTATGACATAATGGGAAACTCACAGAGAAACTCCCGGATTCTTCAACTGACCGCGGCACACCTGCACCAGGGTAAACCTCCGCCTACCGCAGTCCTGCTTTACAGGTGAAAATAGAGCAATAGGACCGCTGAGTCTTTGACTTTATTTATTTTCTGCTGTGTTTTACTTGCATCTATTTGAAAGAGTGAGTGTAAACACAAAAAATATTTTATTTTATGTGCTGGAATGTGTAGAAAATAGGTTTAAATGTTAAATTTATTCAAGTCAGAGAATGTTGCATATAATTACATTTTTGCTTGATGCATAAAGTTAAAAGATTAAAACTGATAAAACAAGTTTAAAAAAAAGAGACTTTTCCATTTGATTACATTTTGTATGATGGATTATGTAGAAAAAGTAGAATTGGGCTGAAAGATCTATCGCTTTATCACCTCTTCAGGTTGTAAATCGTGTTTTTAAAAAGTAACTAAGTAACTAAGTAATTACTTACTTTTGAAAATAAGTAATCAGTAAAGTAACAGGATTACTTTTTTGAGGACGTAATCAGTAATTAGTTACTGATTACTTTTTTCAAGTAACTTGACCAACACTGGTAGCAGGCTACTGCATACTCATTTAACAAAAACATTAAGGCTCAACTTTAGTAATAGATCCAGAGTTTAAAAGCTTATCAGATAATAAAAAGTGGCTAATAATAGAATCAGGTGACAATAGTAGCGAACAGTCTATATGGTATATATGGAAATAAATAATCACAGGCACATGGAACATGCTCTGCAACTCACTGTGCTGATCTGCTGAAATAAATGAAGACACTGTATTTCTTTATCAACAGGGTTTTAAGAAGGCTGGAATGAATGGTTTGGTATGTGAGTTTTAAACTGGAGACTATGTTGCCTGTTCTGTCTGGTTCCATCACTCAACACTGGTGCCAATAAACCTACAATAATATATTTTTGTTGTTTCTTAAGGGCAGCGGAAACAAGGCTGTAAATACAGCACTGACATAATATAATGACCCTCTAAGCTGATGAAACTAGCAACTGGTGGTTTCTTTCAGCCCCGCTGCAACTTTTGCCCTCCTCTCCTAAACAGCACTGTGAGAACAGTGGCAATGAATCAGACCAGCAAAAACACACACATGAAATCAAGTAAGCTTAAAGAATTTCAATCAATCAATCTTTCAGACATACAGGTGACTATGCAGTCCATTGTTAATGTCAAAATGTTTCTTATAGCTATAATGAAGTCATTTTAATTTTATGTGACAGGACAATTCAAGTGTTTTAGGAACTTTCAATGCACAATTATGCAAAACAATCACATAAATACCAGGCATAACTGGTGACAATGGTTATAGCAGTTGACATCTAACAATACCCACTGACAGATATTCCACTCCTTGGGCCAAGCCTTGTTAAAACAGAAAAGTCTTATTTATTATAATGTATCAGCAGATTGTACAGTTTGACTATAAAACTTAATGGAGCTATAAAATATAAATGCTCAAGGCCATCACTAATTCACAAAATCACCCAAGTTACTCTGGCTCACTTTTATTTCAAAAGTAAGGAAGTCTGAGTGAGACAATAAACAACCTGCTGCTATGAATCATCTCTTTCATGAATGGCAAAGCCCCGTAACCAAAAGGTTTTATCATCCCTTCTACTCTTCCCATCATTCACCTCCTGTTTTTGCATAACCTCCTCTCTGTCCAAGCCCCCCACCCTTCCAGTGCCCACTTCACTACAAAGCTGTCCGCAGCTCTGTCAGTCAGGCTAGATAAGGTAATCCTGTTTAGTTGGCTGTTAGAGGTCTCGGGCCTTGGCTCTGACAAGTGGGACATCTCATATCTCCCATCACCTGTCTGCTCAGCAGCTCAAAAGTCTGCCGGGAAACTGAAGGCTCAGAGATGAGGGGGAAAGAGACGAAGCTCTCAGTCTTTTGTAGGTTTTTCTTCATGATCATTATCGGCCAGAGCAGTTGTAGCAAGGCTCTAAAACAAAAATGACCTGGACTGAGGGGAGTATTAAGCACTTACACTATGATATGATCTACATGAAAGACAAATTGCACGTATTTGTAAGCCGAGCAAGTGAATAGTTCTGATTGCAGTAGGTAAAGTGGGGGAGTTGTGCAGTCTGTCAAATAGGTAGGAAAATGTAACAATCATGTCAGAACAAGCAAGCAGATGATGTGTAACTCACAGCTCCACAGGCGGTGTTCTGGATGGTTACTGTAAACTTTGCTGAATTGCGACTCTTGGCGAGGACATACTGGCACGTTGCAGGAAAAGTATAGATCCGTCCATCAAAGGACTGAAAATACATGTCGCCTGTCACCGAGCACTCGCCTGCAGACAGAGTGGTACATTTACTGCGAGTGTCCGTGTGTGTACTTCAAACAAAAGTTAATGCAAATGTATCCCGTTCCATAGCACTACTATAGCAATAAATAAACAGTCCTGTACATGTTAATCAATTGACAGTTTATGTTTTTCTCTCTGTGTAAATATCACACCTCGTCTGTTTTTGGTCCACAGCTATTATTGTGAGCTTTCTCCAGCCTTGCTTTGTTCCATATCTAATATAACTGCTTTGCACTTGGTTTTTACAAGGAAGCTTGGTTTTTCTATGCACACGAACCACAAACTTTATTTCCCCCTTAAGTATAAAGATTTTTTTTCTTCCATTCTACCACAGCATTCTTCTGCATATTTCTTTAATTTGTGTCTCTTAAAATCAACAAGTTCAACCTTTAATAACTTGCTACCATTCTGAAAATGTCAAGAATTATTGTTCCTCTTGATTCCATGAGTCCATGCTTTTTTTCCCCATTTCTAACAAGGCAAAATCTGTCCTTCTATTAGAACTTTTGCCTTAGTCATCTTTCTTTTTCAAAAATAAGCATATATTCCAACTTTCTTTTCACTGTCCAACAGGGGCAGGTGTTTTATAGTACCTTACCAATAAACTCTTCTCTTCCCTTAGTACACTGTCTATTCTCTCTTCTCAAAAATAGTTTTCGCACATTACTTAACAATGAACCATCAAAGCCAGAAGTGTTTTGTAAATGCACTAAAGTGACTAAAATCACTCACTAATTACTAAAATTATCCATTTAAAATTTATTTCTTTAGACTTTTGTACTTGGTTTAAGCCACTTTGGCATGTATGACAGCCTCAAGTCTGTTTGGGAATGATTCTCCAACCTAACTCTCACAGTCCCCATCAAACACTTTCATGGAATCATTGTATAGACTGAAAGTATTTAAGTCTGAAATCAAATTCACGGAATCTTGTTGAAAAATTTACTAGTCGAGTATATCAATAAACATTTCCCACAGGGGAAAGGGACAAACCTGGGCAGCTGTAGTCAGTGCAGTTCCACACTCCACCCACGCATGCACTGAAACAGAAAGCAGAGACGTCCACAGGTGGCTCTGGGAACATGAAAGGCTGAGCTAATCAGCAGGATCACTGAAAGAAATTGGACTCACTGCACTCAGGTGGTCAGATCTGAGAAGATTAAAAGGACTGTATGGGGAGCGTAGGATAATATCTTGTCTTTAATACACAATACTGCAATTTTTTATTACACAAGGAAAATCAAAGCTGTCACGTTATGAAGTGTTGCCAGAGATGTTATTAAAAAACTGTAAAAATAAAACACGCCTCACTGTTCCCTAGCTTTTTATGGGATGAAGAGTATTTAAACAGACAAACCAAAGACGTTTAAGTCTCTTCATCCAGATATTTATGATGGCATACAAGGTAACAGAAGTGTTACCACTGCTCACCAGGTGTTGCATTCCTCCTGCAGCGTCTGACCAGATGGATAAAACATACCGTGGTACTCACAGGGACAGTCAGAAGGCATTACACAGCCTCCATCCTCATATATTAGACCTGGGGACAAAGATTAGAGATTCAGATTCAGACTTCAGATCATCTGGGGATGAAAAAAAAATCATAAGACTGATAAGACAGAAAATGCAAATAATGTGTTAAAAGTAAAGTATAGGCAATATAATAACAGTATTTTTTATTATTATGAGATTTATGTTAAGGTCATTACACAAGACAAACTATAAAGATAAGGAACTATTTTGAATAGGAACATAAGAAGCAGAATCTCAACAGACACTCACCATCGGGACAATAGCATCCATCCAGGCAGGTGAGCTTACTGTCAATACACGTTCGCTCCAGGTTGCAGGACTCCGGACAGCAGCTGATACATTCCCTGTGCTGCAGTCCTAGAGAACACCGCTTCACTGGTCACAGAAACAAAACACAATACATACGTCAAAGCTTTAAGTTTGCTTCTGTAAAGCCCAATTACTCTTGCTGCCATGATCACTGAAATACAGGTTATAAACTGAAATTTGAACCTGACACGTCTACAAAACATAAACAAATGTGCTCAATTAGCACCTTTTCTAGCTAGCTGGTGTTCATTAGCCTGTTAATAACCTGCCCTCCAGTTAACTTCCACACTTAAATATTCCTAATTATTTTACATTAGATAGCCCTTTATAACTATTCTACTAGTATAAATTATTTTAACCCAGCATCTGTGCCTGTAAATTATTCCACATTCATATTTTGTTTTATCTACTATGTTCAGGTAAATCCCTTTTTTATAAATCTTTATAAATCATGTTTTTGGACTTGACTTAATTTTTTTAACCTTGTAAATATATCATTTATCATCTGAAATAAAAAATAGAACAATTTCAGCTACAAGTAAAACTAAATGTATCATTTTTCTTCTGTTCGTCCTGGCACACATTTTAAAACACCTGGAAAAACGTACCACACTGAGGAATGTGCTGCCTCCACTCATGCAGTGGGTGGTCAGCATGGGCGCATGCCCGGGCGTACTCGGTGAACACCTGGCATACCACATCACCATTGGGATCCGACCTTCAACAGGGTAAAAAACAAAAAGGAACTCTTTGAGAAGAGCCAGGAGAGGTGTAGCTACAGAGCCAGATATGCTGAAATGAGACTGTGCAGCTCAAATAAATAACTACTCACCAGCTGCTCTCACCAGTTTCCAACTAGCATACAAAATTAATAAATAAAGCTATATAGTTTTATGCTTATAGTTGGAAAATTGTAGTGTAGCTACGTCAGTCATGACAGTGATGATTTCAGACCAAGTGAATCCTGTCATAAAGTAAATTCTTTCTTTAGTTCTTTAGTTGTAGGAACAGATTGCCATGGCTAATGTTACTCTCAGAGGGGGGTACGTTCAGGATCATGGACGTGAGCCATGAAAGACACAACTGAGTGTCTTTTAGAGTGGGATCATTTTGAACGAGTAAGTAACCAAAGTGCTCACAGTCTGAGGACATGGATTGAAATGCAAAAACTAAAATGTGGGTACATAAGGATATGTGCAAAAAAGAGATCTCCAACCACCTGTACAGGATGTTACTAATTTTTAGATAATGTTACGTATGTGTCAAACTTTTATGATGTTTTGATTTGCTTCAGAATTAGTATCAGTAATTCAGAACAATGACTCTGCTGTTCATGACAGCAGAGGCATTGTTCATGACTCTGCTGTCATGAACAATATCAGCAGAAATGAAATAAATGTTTCTTCTAATTTTAAAGTAGGAGAAAGATTCCACACATTTCGCAAGGATGGATAAACTATGGATACTAATGGTTCATACCATATAATTTTGACAACACTCAGATTTTTCCTCAAAATGAAACCCTTCCAACAACTAGATCTTAAATCGGTTGCTCTTACATGCAGAGGTCGTTGGAGCAGCTGGCCATGTAGGACAGCGGACTGACAAAGTCATGGCAGCTTTGAAATGGTGGATCCAGCAGCATTGCACACACCTCCTCCACCTTCTGTCACCACAAAACACATAAAAACACTTTTTTACTCATCTAGTAGGTAATTTTCTCAGTTTCATTTCACTCATCTCGCAGTTGCTGTTTTATTTGACACCTTACCAGTAAAACATGAGATTCGACTGTAGCACAAGGTGAAGGGAAGCCAGAAGGCACCATAGGACATCTTTCCTCATGTGGATGTGTCTCTACCCAGCTATTCCCAAACATTTCAATTTCATGAGTCAGCACACCTAAGAAACAGATATCATGTCTGTTTAATTATGTCAGTAGTTTTGCCTCCTTTACACTTCTTCACATCTGGAGTTCAGTTGAGTGTTTTAAAAGAAAAAGTGAGCCGTGTCTTTTCTACTTCATGGTTCAAGGATCACCATCAGTTTTAACCTTGACCTTTCACTTTTTAGCTGAATGTTAAACTTATAACCACTGCTTACCAGTCATGGCTCAGCAGAGATGGCAAAAGTACACAGATTCATCACTTAAATAGAAGTACAGATACTTAATTTTTCAATAATCTGTTTCATGGACATAACTTCTTTACTCAAGCAAAAATTAAAAAGTACAGACTCTGAAATTAAAAAAGTATTTAAAAAGAACTAGCTCCTTTTCTATTTTTTGCCAAGTTAACTAAAACTCATGTCATATAAATACTGTAATAAAAAGGAATACAGACTTCATCTCTTATAATTCTAATGAACGTACTCAACTTGTATTGTATGTGTCATGAAGAACAAAAGCAGAAAAAAAACAAAGAGATTTTTTTTTTAAAAATCTATCTCTATTTGCTGTTGCCTGCATTGTAGAGGGTGGCTTTGCTTCCTCGCCTAAAGAGAAAAATTTGTATGCTCAAGGGTTAAATTGGAATTCAACTGGTGTGAGAAACCCTAAGATCAGCTGCTGCTCTTTGTGGATTTACACAACTGAAAGAGACATAAGCAGATGCTACATGAGCAATGAGACTGAAAATGATCTCACCATAGCTCATCTTCAGGTCATCGTGGACGTCGGCATTAAAGTTACCACATAAGCCGCAAGTTCTGCCCACAAACTCTGGACTGAGCTTGATGTAGACAGAGCCGCTTCGTCCCTCCCATGCCAGCGTGAAGCCGTGCTGCTGCGTTACTAGCACGTACTGTGAAATCTGCTCCAGCTGCAGGTCGTGGATGTGATGAGGCAGCTGCAAACTAAACACAAACAGGGCGATTCCAGTATCATATAAACACCACCTTACCTGAAGAGATGTAAAATAAAACATACAGAGAGAAAGCAGCTAACCTTTGGCCTTTGAAGGTCACATTGGTGGCATGTAGCCTGACTTCTCCCTCCCATGGCAGGAAGAGGCTGACAGATCTTTGGCAAGTGTAGGGGTCTGAAGTACAGGCCGGGTCGTTGTGGACCTACAAACAGAGAGGTGGGACATTAATTTAAAACAGGTGTGGGTTCGTTACGGATCTGCGCACAAATAAAAACTGTGTCATTGAAAATGTCACAATTTTCATGTTATTCTTGGCCTGTCACAGAATTCTTATAATGCACATTTAATTTTTTTTTCTAGTCTAATTCTTTTTTAGAAACTGTCCGGGGAATGAAAATCAAGCCAAGTTATATATTCTTAGCTTGTTGTAAAACAGTAGTAAGACTCTCCTCAAGTCAGATTTACCTCAACAATACAAGATATTTGTAAATGAATTTAAGCTACCTATCCAAGGAATCAGCCTTCATTGCGACATAGGTCGACATAGAACTTACAAGGAAAAGTTTTGGACCAAAATGCACAAACCTTTAGGGGTTTCGTTCAAATCCAGTGCTGAAAATAGTCCATAACAAATGTATTATTTGCACACAAAAAAAAGAAAAGAAACTGAATCCAGCTATTTTAAAAAATTACATAGAAATCGCATTTCATTTACATTCATTTAGAACCAATGGACCAAATAGTTCTAAAAAGCAAAAGTATTTAAAAAGCTGAAACGTGATCCTAAAAGTAACACACACACCTGCCACTTTGTAACATTTTTGAGTGCGTCATTTTATCTGCTACAAAGGAAAATGTCATCTCCTCTCCTCGTAACATGCTCTGTTAGGATTGCTGCACTGTGTTTTCATATGTTATCATTACTGAACTTCATTATTTAATTAATCCAAACTACATTTGGATCTTCTAATGTCCCCTGTTTAGGTTGGTTTTTCCCTACACAGATAAGGTATCTGTTGCCTGTTCGGGGGAACAAAGTCCTAGTCTGTTGCAGATACTTTCAAGGCATAGTGGGTAATTGCAGCATTTAATGGTAATTGACTCTAATAACCAGATAGCTTTCACTAATGTTCAGAGTAGATCTTTTCCTCAGGCTGAGTCTGAAAAAAAAGAATGTGTTTTGGGGCAGGAGGCCACAGAGTCCAAATTTTCCCCAAACTGGAGGCAGGCGTTGAACCGAAAACTACTGGGCAGCTGCTCACCTGGAGGTTTTATTTCACCCCAGCCTAGGTCCATGTGGACGACTCACCTGGACAACGATGCTGGCCTGGGTGGTTTCCTCACAGTCCCTCAGTAAAGTATAGGCGCACCGGCCTGGGAGGTAGTAGTAGAGGCCGTCAAAGGTCTCAAAGTTGTACTGACCCCACGTCCTGCATGTCATCTCCCTCTCAAAGCCAGAATTTGGAACTAGGAATATAAACATGAAAATTTCTCTTTTCATATCACTTAATTAGCCATTAAGACACAGAAATGCTACAAAACACCCTAACAAAGCTTTTCAATTTAGCACCTTTTAGTATTTATTAGTGTTGTATTTTTGTCCACTTGTTAAATGTACAGTACTGTGTAAAAGTACTGAGTCACCCCTTTTCCTTTTTATACTTTGCTAGGAAAATGGGAGATAGGTGAAGCAATGCAGTGAAAGATGCACAAACATACACGGAAATAAACTATATAAGGCAAAAGCAGGCATTTTGTTATGTTCTCTGTCAAGATTATCCCACGCTGCCTCAATAATATTGAGGTGCAGACATTGGGGAGGCCAATCCATGACTGACACGTTACACTGTATGTTTTTTTATCCAGGTTTTCACTCCAATGTCTTTTATGGCATGCAGAAAAAAAAGGCTGTTCACAATCAGTGAATCAGAATCAATAGCTTCCAGATAGTATTGGATGGCAGAGCAAAATCTGACAGTGATTTTCTCTATTCATAATTCCATTAATTTTGACAAGATTCCTAAACCCCAAACTATTACAGAGCTTCCATTATACTTTACAGATTGCTGTAGACACTCACTGCTGCACCTCTCTCCTGATCTTCTCCATACATACTGATAATGAGCTGAACCAAAATGTCAAATCTGGACTTCTGACTCCATCAGACCTGTTAACACTATTTTTCACTCCAGTTCTTGTGTGATTTGGCATACCTCATCCTTTGATCCATTTCCTTTCCTTAAGATCAGCTTCTGACAGCCACCCTACCACTGAGACCATTTCTGATGAGGCTTCAACAGTAGGTGGACATCTGGACAGCAGAGACCTGAGGGAGGCCTGAGATGTCCTGTGTCAGGTCTCTGCTGATTTTTTCCTTTCTTAGGGACATTACATTCAGTTACTGTTTGTCTACTGTAGACACTATTCTTCTCTACCACTCCTTTTATCCTCCATTTGAGTTTCCGACTCAAAAATCTCTCTGAACTGAGTGAATGTGTACTATAAATTATTTTTAAAAAGATGTAGAAGACAAAATGACTTGATTTCTCTTTTTTTTAGGGGGGTGTATATGTTGAACTTAAGAGAAACAGATCGATAACTTAAATTTCTGGTACAGGATAGCTCAGAGCATCTTAAACATCCTCCCTGAACTGCTCTACAAATTTCATTAAATGACCTCTAATGATGTAATAATAGGCCTGTGCACTTTTATGATACTGTATTCAACTAACAAGCTGGTTGATCGTTGCATGTGTGTGAATGTTAGATAGAAAGCACTTAAAGCATAGAAACAAGTACTTGTATGAATGGATGTGAATGGGTGAATGTTGAAGGCTGTAAAGTGCTTTGAGTGCGAAAGTATAATCATCTCTGGATCTCTTTCACAACATCTCTTTTGTCTGGTCTCCCTTCCATCACCCCCATCCGATCAAGGCAGATGGCCGCCCCTCCCTGAGCCTGGTTCTGCCAGACGTTTCTCCCTATTAAAACTGTTTTTTCTTACCACTGTCACCAAAGTGCTTGCACATGAGGGTTTGCCTGATTGTTGGAGGTTTTCTGTATTTTTTCAAGGGCTTTACTTTACAATATGAAGCACTTTGAGGTGACTGTTGTTATGATTTGGCTTTATAGAAGTGAAACTGAATTGAATTGAAGTAGAGTAGAAATCCACTATATAAGAACCAGTCCACTTACCAATTTAAAAGAGTGTTGTCAGGGTTTACCTGTCTGACATCTGTGTCCAGTAGCCTGATACAAGCTGCAGTCACATGACTCCGACTCAACACATTGTCCTCCGTTCAGGCAAGGAAATGCACAGGGCTCCCCTGAGAGAAAACGAAAGGACAAGCAAACAATTACACTGTTTCTCATCAGACTGGAAACCTGAAAGAACGACTCCATGAATAATTTTCATTATTTCTAATAATGAAAATTATTATTATTAATCAGGAACAATAATATAGAAATAGTGTTTTTCCTTTCTCATAAAAGCTATGTGTACCACTGGTTAATTTTCCATCCTAATAACCACTACAACTGAGTTTAAGTGTTTGTCTGCAAGGTATATATTTAAGGAAGTCACCATCTGCCTCTCTGCTTTCACGTGGAGTTGTGTGGCTCAAACAAATGTTCCAGTCACTGAACGAACCACCATCCCCCAAATGATAGTTTTTCATCCTCCAATAAAACCATCTGCTCAATGGCCTTCCATGCTGTCTGCCTAGTGGGCCATGTCCCACATTAACATAGGTAAAAGTCATAAAGGAATCAGCCATGGGAGGGGGTCCAATTAGTCAAGGTGCTTTCCTCATGTTCATTCTGTGAGGCACAAGTACTCATTTGGCTCATTTGTTGCTCCAAATGTACACAACATTACTAGGTTTCGATTACAAGCTGTAGCCAGGGAGGTAGAGGAGGTCATCTACTGACTGGAAGATTTGTGGGTCGATCTCTGGCTGCTCCAGCCTGCATGGCAAATATCATTGGGCAAGATATTAACTGCCAAGTTCCTCTCTGATGCATATACACACACACACTTTTGGGGTTGTTTTCACTATTTCTTTACCACAAATATGACCAAGAAAATGGCATGTGCACTGAATTTGACCAGGTTTCTCCTTTTTAACAGACTTCTAAAATGTTTTTAGAACCACATTTGAGGAAAATGGTATAAAGAGAAATTGTTATACTGAAGTTCTCCCTCAAACATTTGTACATTCATCCTTCAATCATTAATAAGAACTTTGTGAACCTACCTGGAATCCTACGAAACGATGACCCCAGGGCTTCCTTCACCTGCCTCGTCAGCAGTGAAGTATTAACTGGATGCCGGTCTGTTGAAATGGCTCCATTGTTGGTTTTTCCAAGTAACACTGAACCAGATTCATTTGATGTTACTGAGCTGGTCAGAAATTGTTCATATGGTGCTGAATTTGACCTTGAGTGATTATTAGACGGTAAACTGTATGATAAGTATTGTGAAGTATTTAAGGTGAGCATGGTCTGATCATTTGGAGTGTCTAGCGACTGATTTGACCATTCTGAGACAGCTTTTAATTGGCTTTGTGTTGTCTTGCTAGATTTTGTACCTGTGCCTTTTAATTGATCAGATATGATCCTAGTGGGTGCATTAATAAAAGAAGAATTCTTGGCTGGTGTGGTGCTGCTTGGTGATTGGCTAGAACTTGTTGTGCTGGTTAGCCAGATTAACTTGTTAGCCAGTATCTTTTTTGATGATTTTTTAGCTAAAGATGTCCTGCTTGTTGATTGGCTGGTTGGTGTTGATCTGCCTGATGACTGACTAGGTGCTATCACTGTAGTCATTGATGGTTCATTTTGTGACTTGAGTTCTTTTGTCACAGTTGTTGACTGGCTGTATAATGTTGTGCTTCGTGGCAATTTGTTGGATTTTATCGCAGAGGATGGAGATTTTTTATATATTGATGTGGTTGTTAGTGGTTGGCTGGTTTGAGCTATACTGCCTTGAGATGAGCCAGCTGATGCTGATCGGGATGATGATCCACTAGCTGGTTCCAGGCTGTTTTGTGATTGGTTAAATAGTGCTTTCTCAGCTGGAGATAGACTGGCTGTTGCTGTGCTGCTTGATACTTGTTTGGTTTGTTCTGTTCTACCTCGTGATGGGCTAGTTGATGCTGGCACGCTTGGTGTTTGAGTGGCTAGTATTGGGCTGGCATGTGACTGATAAGATGGTGTTTTCTTGGTTAGTGACTGACTGGATGGAGCTGTGCTGCCTGATGAGAGGCTGTTTTGTTCTGTGCTGCTTTGTAATAGGCTAGTTGATGCTGTGCTGATTGGTGATTGACTTGTTTGTGCCAGGCTGCCCTGTGACGGCACAACTGATGGTGATGGGTTTGATGATTGACTGGCTGGTACTAGACTTTTGTGATTTTGTGATTGGTCAGATAGTGTTTTTCCAGTTGGTGATTGAGAACCCAAATGATAACTGAATGGTGCTGTGCTACCAGGCAATTGGCCGTTTTGTGTCATACTGCCTGGTGAGTGTCTTTTTTGTTCTGTTGTGCTTTGTAGTAGACTAGTCGATGCTGAGCTGTTTGGTGATTGGCTGCCTGGTGCTGAGCTGGTTTCTGAATTTTTAGATGGCACTGACATTGTTGGTGACTGATTGGATGAACCTGTATTGACTGCAGAATTGTTTGCTTGTGCTGTGCTACCCTGTGAAAGGACAGCTGATACTGAGTTTGATAACTGACTGGTGGGTACAGGACTTGTTCTTGATTGGTTAGATAGTGTTTTCTCAGCTGGTGATTGACTGGATGATACTGAGCTGTTTTCTGTTCTGCTTCCGAGTGATTGAGAAGGTGATGTTGATGTGGTTGGGAATTTGCTGACTGTTAGAAGGCTGGTTTGTGAGTGTTTGGATGGTGCTGTCTCAGCTGATGATTGACTGATTGGTGCTGTGTTCCCTGGTGATTGGCTGGAGGACATTGTTCTTGATGGTGTTTTACTAGGTGGTGCCGTGACTCCAGATGATTGGCCAGAGCTCATGGTCCATGAGATGTTTGGTGTCCTTTCTGAAGATGATGTAAGGTTTGACACAGCAGCCATGTTGACCAGTGATTTACTGGAGGCAGATATGTTGGTTTCTAATGTAGCAATTGTCATCTGGAGGTGCTTCAAGGAGAAAAAATTGTATCAGCAAATATTTCATGCAACAGTTGCTATACAATAACAATGATAATAATAATAATAATAAGTCATACAGCTTGAACCTGATCTGAAGTAGCAATCTTTCAAATCCTCTTACAACTAAATATGTTACATCTGATCATTTTCATATTGGAACTCAGTAATGTTTGGCAAAGAAATAAAGAGAGCAATTTCAGCAAACTAAAATAAAGTCCTTGTAATGCTTTGCTGAATTAATTCTGTAAGTTTAATATCAAGCTAATCTGGAAAACGAGTACAGGTCTCAGGTGACAGATTAATAAAGATTTGATTAAAATGTAAGATACCTAAAACTTTTACAATTTAGTGTTTTGTTGAAGAAAAATTCCTCCCAGAATTAGGCTGGATGTTGCCAAACTAGAATCATGATCGGCAAGGATGGAATTGAGGTGGTAATGGGAAAGGAAGAGGCTCTAAAGAAAAGACCTGTCATCCAGCTTTCATTAACGACTGCTCTGTGACTTACAACACAGTTTTCCTTTCCAGCTCAACAACCCAACTGACTCCCTTTTGGTTGTGTCTGTTTCCTCTTTTGGATGACCTCTATTGTCTAAAAGTATTCGCCCCTTTCATTTCACTATATCGATGTGTGATATGTGAAATTAGAAGGCTGGTAAAGTGTTCCCAAGAGAGTAAAACACTGGGGGAAAACATTTGATATCTGGAATGTTTTGGCATGGCGATTTCCATATTAAGATAACTGGATATTTTACAAAAAAAAAACCACCTTAACAACAGGTTTGGTTTTAAAACATTCTCATTACAGTGGCATTCCAAAATTATCAGTCCAGCCTTGCTTCCACACTTTTACGTGACTGGATACTTGAGCTCTGAAACCCAGCCTTTCATCTCAAAGAGCAGGAACAAAGCAGGTGGCAAGGGTGATGTGTAAGGGGGGTATAAGGGGTACCTGACTATGAATTATTAATCAGTGATCAGTATCAGAAAAACAAAGAGGGAGTACTTCACATATGTAAAAGCATGTCAATATGCATATAACAATGCACTGATTAAACTAAAATTAGAGCAGTTAAAGCTGCTCTAATTTTAACAAGGACATTATATAGAGAGTAAAAAAAAATACCTACAACATTTTTTTAGCATATTTTGTGCTACTAATTGCTTTGCTCCTTTAGGGGCTCCTATAGTTTGGACCGGATTCTCATGAACCAAAGGGAGAACAAAAGAGCAACCACATTCAGGCAGATAGCGGCTCTGACAGAGGATGAGCAAGACAACAGAGCAGCTTCTTTATATTCCTGCTGGGACTCCTTCGCATGTCGAGGAAGCAGGGAACAATGCACACTGTTTATATATTTTCATATATATCTCCACACTGAGTGACAGCCTGAACTTAGCAGCTTGAAATGCTTTTTTTAGGTCGGCCATGAATACAGACATCAAATTTTGGGTAAAACGACAGACTTCTTGGATTAAAAACAAGTTAATTTTTATAATTAAAAATTATAAAATTGTAAAATTAAAAAGTCATACATTAAGATTCTGCAATAAAGCTAGAAATATGTTGCATTTCACATATATTCAACTAACTTATACTTAAGCAAACAATCGAGTCTTTTAGGGAAATTAAAAGTGAAAAACGTAAACACTGTGTATAAATTATGGGAAGAAGCACTCCCATGTGATGACGATGGTGATGTGAGCAATGCTGATTTTTTTGGGAGATATCTGGCTGTGTGTTTGCCGCCCGAAGCAGCTCCATCAGCATCAACGATCAATGCAGCTGCCTACCTGCCCTCCCTGGGAAGCGGTGTCCCATTTCTGATGCTTTATCCCGCTGCTCCCGCTGCTGGGACAGAGAGAACAAGGAGAGGTTTGTTCCCACTGCAGGTTTCACCCCCACTGACACCACAAACCCACCACCAACCAGGAATCACGCAGACCACCAAACAACCTGGTGATTGACCAGACTGTCATGCTTCTCAATTAATCGATTAAAGCATCATGAAATGGACAGGTTTCGATGAGCTAAAGCAGATGTTGTTGTTTTTTTAAATCATATTGTTTTTTTATGTATGGCCTAATGCCTCAAAGCCAGCATATACTATACTACATATACTGTATAATACTCACACACAATACTCAAATACAATTTTTAACATAACAACTTATAGTTAATATATAAAACTATGTGGGCTTTAATGCAAATATAATCACCAAAATAAATCCTTCACATATAATATGTAAATTATGAATATGTGACAAATAAACATTATGTAAACTACTAACTAAATGCAAGGAAACAATTTTTAAAAATGACTCACTCATTAAATTCATCCCAGTTAGAAATGTTCACTCTTTCCACACCCCAGGAAAGGTGCGCTGAAATTAGAGGGGAAATGGGCAAAAATAAGGAAAGACAATAGGCTGTGACCTTTTTTAAAAAGAGACCAACTTTAATAACTAACTAAATAACTAAGTAAATAAATAAGCGTTTAAACTGCAGGATGTAACCTGAGCTGCCGCATAAAGCACCTGTGGTATCTAAACTTTTCCTATACAAACAGGCTGTGACCGTGTTGGGACTCTGTCTCTCTCACTCAGAAATCACACTTCGCCTTCCCGCGGCATCAGGGTTCGCGTGCGTGCTTCCCGGTGCGTAGGACTCACCTTGATAAATGAGGATAAAACACGAAGATAATAAGTGAAAAAGCCTTCTCCGTCTTAAATAGGGATCCATTCGTGTTTCGCGGATCCGCACTCAGTCGGGTTTGGACAGCATCACCTGGTGAGAACCCTTCGGCTGGACTCCCGACTCTCCCTGTGCTGCTCCATCCGGATCATCCCCGAGCGGTCCTCGGCGCGCCTCAAAAACCGCTGCACCTGCTCATTAGCATAAATTATGCACAGGTGGGCGCGCGGGGGATGGAAGGGGCTCAGTCAGAGGGCTTTGATGACGCGAAACTGCTGTCTGTAAGTAAAACCACTGACCAGCCACCACCCTAACTAACAAAACTATAAACTACACGAATGCTTGTTTTTTGTAAAACATGCTGAATTCTGTTTAAAACTGAGGAGGAGAGAATGGCAACCACGAAAACAACTCCCCCCTTGTGGTTCACAGAACAGCAGGCGCCAGGGTGGGAAATTCCATATGGTTATTTCAATTTCAAAAAATAAAAAAATACCAGGACTAAATGGATTACATATGTCTTAAATGTCCTTTACTTCAAGGAGGGAGGAGAAATTATGGTTAGAGGTGGGCAGACTGATACAAATATCGATAGCATCAAAACCAATGCTGGTATTGGTATTTTATTGACTACACAGGAAGCCAAGAGATCGAACCACCAACCTTCCAATCAGTAGCTGATCTGCTCTACCACCTGAGCCACAGCCACCCTGATTTTTTTCCTGTTTATTTGTTACTTCTGCACAGTACTCTAAAACAATCAACTGAATGTGGTGTGTCAATATATATGAAGGTTTTACAGTGTACATTTTTTTGTGTGAGAGAGATTTTTGTGATACATATAACAACTCCCATATCACAGATTACGTCAGTCAGGTTGGTTACCAGAGAGGAACTGGGAATTTTATCCCTGAGAGGAACAGTTGACATGCACTGAAACGGGCTACTTCTCCAAACAAAAGATTTAAAAAGTCACCTAATATCAGACAGACTTGTCCACAGTCTGAGTTTGAAGACAAATACTACAGACAACATAAAATCAGACCCAGCAAGGTTAACAGTAAATGGGCAATGTTGACAATAATTAATTGGCAGCCTTAAATCATTGTCTACTCAAGAAAAATAAAGCACTGGGGAAAAGAAATGTACAAATATATGCGCATATCCAGAATCCACAAAATGACATATACTAGCATTAAATTAGATCTGTGACCACGTTTTCAATTTGCATCACATTTACAAGAAATCAACTTAGCTGTTTTTTAAAGAACTCACCTATTTTTTTTCTCTACTGCCACCTGCTGGTAAGAAACTAGATAAATGGATAAGTAATATGCTTATTCTTAAATATGTAATATGCAATGCTGCATTGTGATAAAAGTAGTATCTGGGTTCAGTTATGTTTTAAAACATTTAAATGAGCAACATTTGCCGGGAAAGGGTGCTTTGTGAAGCAAAACCCTCTCTCATTAGGAACAGGATGACGTAGGTGGGAACGAGGCTTGCGAGGTTCTGGAAGGTCTGCGGTAGAAGACGAGGTACAAACAGCAGCGCACACTGTTTAGCATTTGATTTCAATTCTTTAAAGTAACTAATTGTAGGCCTATAAAAAGAGAGCAAGAGAGATTTTAATTACAAATCTGAGTCGCCAAGTTGATGTTGTTAAATGGTCGTTTGTCCAAGTAGCGCTGCGTGCCCCGAAAACATATTTATATAAACATACATATAAAATAAAATAAAAAGAGAAGATTTATGAGGCTTGAGAGGTTTGATTTAAAAAAAGAAAACTGACTCAGACATATGAGACATAAAAAATACTTTCGTTGCATTGTTGTTTGACTGTGAGCTAGTGGTTTTTTCCTGCCTTCACACAGACCCAAGTCCACATTCTGTACAAACCACACTCACCAGACAGGGTAGCCCAAGAAGTGACTGATGACAATGGCTGCCACCGCCCACCAGCGCTGCTTCTCACAGGCATCAAGGAAAACAACGTCCCAGAACATGTGAAGCAGGATGATGGCCATTGTCATAAAGGCTGAAAGAGACGTGCAATTTTAACAAATCATGTTCTACATATAAATCTAATATAGTTACACTTTTAACGGCGATTAGTTTTAATGCAACATTTCCCAGAATGCCTTTTTATAACACCACACATAATACATGGACATAATACATTTAGGCTGTGCTCTGTATTGTTTCAGCTAGAAGTCCAAAACTCTGAAAGACATACAATTTGTTTGTGGCAGCTGGCTCAAAAGTGAAAGAAAAAAAACACACACACACACACAATCATTTATTCTCCAAAGTAAAATAAGAATCTCCCTGTCTGGACTCTGGTTCCAGCAGTGGAAGTAGTTCATCTTTGGCTGGACACCTGACCCTCGAACATCCAGCGGGACACAAAAGCCTCAGGAGTGAGACTTTTGATATTGTTGAGGTGACCCCGGTGTCACTGGCTGCACAGGCTCATATTTGCATTTGAAAGTTGCCTTTTCGGCAGAGGAAACGTTTCCTGAATCTGTCCGTCTGTTGTCTAACTTTTTTTTAAAAAAAGGCCTTTGACTGACCAAAACCCTCTGAGACCCCGGTGAGCTTTGTGTAGCCCAGCCTGGAGGTGTCTGCTTTCATAAATGGAAACATTACCTGAGGAGCGCAGGAGTGGCAGAATGGAGGAATGTTTTAGGGTGAAACATTAAAAGGTGATTTATCATTTTTCTTTTGTGATTAGTCCTTTTAATGACATGAACATACCCACTTTAACAGCTCCTCATCTTTACAAACAAGCAAACTGAAGCATCTGAAGCAAGAAAGGCTTTTTGCTTCATCCCTCTCACATTCACTCGCTCACACACGCACAGACATGCACTATATCGGAAACCTGGCGCCTGCTTTGTCCCCTGTAGACTTCTCATTAAAGGTCCAATGAACTGACCTACTGTTTCTGTATAAACTTAAAAGAAAATGGCTGCTGTCTGGTCTCTCTTATTACTTTTTGATTATTTTTGACCAAACAAGGCTAGTTAAACACCCTCTGATGTTATTATACATGTTAATGTTCATTACTTTGAATGCTGTTTTCAAGTGGTATTTCCCACCAGATTCTCCTGCGAAACAGAACCAAAGTTTGAAATCTTTAAATGACTGTATATATAAGTAGTCTAAACCACTGCACAAGTTTAGTTTCAGACAATTTATTTCTGCTCTTGGCTCTGTGTGATGTCAGAGCTCTGGCTGTGATCACAAAAGCCTCATTGGCTCAAACTGTCTGTTTAATATGAGTAACCAATCAGGGGGGAGGGGGGGGAGGGAAGCTGGGTTAAAGCAAGGGGGAGGAGCCAAAATCCTTGTTTCAGACAGTAGATGAAGTACAGAAATTGGTATCATGCAAAGTTGCTCTAGTAGAGTGAAAGAAAAGAAACAAAGAGGAGAAATTTGTCATAAAATATCCTATTTAAGCAGAAATCTTTGGTGTGAACATGTGCTTGGTTTTTGGAGTTGGCAGTAAAGGAAAACTGAAAATCTTTAGTTTCTTTTTATACTAATCAGACAATTTTAAATATATTTTACACAGTCACTAGTGAATAATCATGGGCACCTGTAAAACACCTGTTAAAAAAACAATAGCTTAATTAATCAATTGATATAAAGAATGACAGGAATATCATTTTTTATTATTATTCCTTTAGTCATTGAAGTATTGTACACACTTAAAACCTATCCAACAATGGTGATAAAAGGAAATGCAACCTTCTAGAAATAAACAAGAAATTTAAAGTTAACTTAATGCAGAGGGAGAGCTGAATGTGTTTTACAATATGAAGTAAAAACTGAAAGTGAGCACACAATAATTTCTTTCCCCACTTCTTGGATATAACTCACAAAAGAAACACTTCTCTTTGAATTACAGTAGGATTAAACAGCATGACATCATGAAGGTAAGAGTTATTGCAGGATTGTTGTATCAGTTTCAGCCTGGTGTACCAACTGACCAGCTAACAGGCTCATCTCCACCTATAAGACTACACCAAATCACATTTTGTCATGTAGCAAAGTGCCAAAACAAGGCAGAAAAGTAATGAACTCAATGCAAACATGAATACAATTTACATCTCTAATGTACCTCCCATCCTTGGGAGACACAGCAGACAGAATCTACAAATACAAAAGATGATCAAAAACAAAATCAGGCACAGAAACAAAATGTTTGTAAATAATTCTTTATCCTAAATCCTTGCACTCATAAGAACAACCAAAACACACAAGGACAAACAACAAAAGAAACTATTTTGTTTGATTTAGATTCTCTACTTTCTATTTGCTCAAGGGTCTATTACGTCAAGATTACTGACTGACTGTTGACTGATTACAAACAATTAGTAATCATTAGCAAGTGCATTTAGAATCAAAAGCAGGTTCATATTCAGACCACAGACAGCATATCGCACCTTGAAGAAAGGTTTTAATATTTACACATTAGGGAATTCAAAAATGCATAATTATATACACATTTTCTTTAGAAATAATAAAACACTAGGAAAGATTTGAAGCATCTGAGAGTATGTATAAAGAGTGCTGCTGCTTTAAGCCCCCAATCTAAAGTATCTTCTGTGGGTTTGTTTTTTCTTACAGTGCAGACCACAAAAAGGGCACACAGTTAGCCAAAATGGATATGTTATACTGTTGAATAAAAACCTTTTCCAAGCTGGACTGGAATCAAAACGATCTCCCATCTTTGTTCCCACAAAACCTTTTAAATGTTTTAACGCTTAAGATGATGAAAGTCTCAAATCAAATAGCAGATTTAACAGGGTTAACACTCCTTCCTCACTGTGTCCAATGTGTGTGTGTGTTTGTGTGGGATCTCTGTGATCCTTGTATAAAGAGTCCTGCACACTGCTAGGTGTGCTGCGTTATCTAGGCCTGTGGTTGGCAAGAAGCAAGTCCTTGTCTTTGCAGGTGAGGCAGAGTTTGAGGTTCTTGAGCGAGCCGCCGGCGGAGTAGAACGCCCAGACACCCATTAGGAACAGGATGACGTAGGTGGGAACAAGGCTTGCGACGTACTCAGGGTTCTGGAAGGTCTGCGGTAGAAGACGAGATAAAAAAACATCAGTGGACACTGTTTAGTATTTTATCTCAATTCTTTAAAGTAACTAATTGCAGGCATATAAAGAGAGAGCAAGAGAGACTTTCATTACAAATCTGAGTCGCCAAGTTGATGTTGTTAAATGGCCGTTTGTCCGAGCACCGTCGTGTGCCCCGAAAACATGACTCTTATTTACTATAAGATACTATAATATACTATAATAAAATAAAAAGAGAAGATTTATGAGGCTTGAGAGGTTTGATTTAAAAAAAGAAAGAAAACTGACTCAAGACATTTAAGACATAAAAATACTTTCCTTGCATAGTTTTTGACTGTGAGCTCTTGTTAGTGTTTTTTCCTGCCTTCACATAGACTCAAGTCCACATTCTGTACAAACCACACTCACCAGACAGGAGACCAAGAGGTGACTGATGACAACGGCTGCCACCGCCCACCAGCGCTGCTTCTCACAAGCATCAAAGAAAACAACACCCCAAAACATGTGAAGCAGGATGATGGCCATCGTCATGAAGGCTGAAAGAGACGTGCAATTTTAACAAATCATGTTCTACATATAAATCTAATATAGTTACACTTTTAACGGCGATTAGTTTTAATGCAACATTTCCCAGAATGC